TGATGCCATTTGGTTTGTAACGCAGGCCAATAAAAACGTTTCTTTTGATTGACAATGCCAGGCAATGTTTGAGATGCTGTCCGTTGATTACTTCATTAGGCCGGCTCCGCAGTTCGAAAGTTGCAGCTGAAAGGCCATTTGATTCAATTATGCATTTGCATGCAATTGAAACATAAGTCCGCCTGCAACAGCTGCCCATCCGCTTATCAACCTGTCCGTCTATTGGTCAATTGGTCAGCACTACTCTCCTACTGGAAGGAGGAGGAGCAGGAGGAGCAGGAGGAGATCAGCAGCAGCAGCCGCTTTTCAGTCGGTTGGTGGGCGATAATTATCTGACTGAAAAATGATCGTCTGGCCAAGCGGCAGAGACTAGTCCCACTTCGCTAACGATCAGCATTTGCATGGGAGAAATGAATGTGAGCGCAAATAAAAAAAAAACTCAAAATATAAAAGAAATCAATAAAAAATTGATAAATCTGCAGCTGCATTGAATCGCTTTTTTTTACGAGCTTTCATTTGCTTATGATGCGTTTTATAGGCCGCTGCGGCATATTACAATTTTTATTCGAGGGGTTTTCGTATCTATCACGAGGTGCAAAAACATATGATAAATATTTGATAGTAATAAAACCCGGTGGCAATTTCAATTAGCTTAGATAATTACATATTTTATTACAAAACTTTATATTCAAATTGTAAAAGTTGTAAGGAAACTAATATTATTGTAATCTAACTGTAATCGAAAAGTTTATTTAAATGTGCAAAAAGTTGAGCTCTATGGGGCCCAAAGCTGCCTCGTATTGTTGGCTTTTTTATGGGCTTACAATTTCGATATATATAACTCAGTGGATTTCGGCTCTGCTCAAATCCCTATCGCATTCGCTTAAAAGCATATATAAAGAAGAGCAGTTATCAGTGAAGAGAAATACGAAGGCTGTACGCAGTTAATCGGGCTCGGCTCAATAAATATTCTATTATCGACAAGTGCGCACACAAATCCATAGATATTTTCGCTGATGCCTCCATTTTGGCCAATCGAAGTGCAATTGGAGTCAAGTTTTCTAGCTGTGGCCGCAGCGGATTCTCGGCGTCTCATCTGGATCGACAGGTTTTTCGCCGCATTGTCTTCTTTATGTGTCTATCTTTTCTTGATTTTCTCGCAACAATTGCTGAATTATTTTAATTGATTGCAGTGGAGCTGCGACGGCGACGCCAACTGGTTTTCATTTGCAGCATTTCTGCAAACGGCATCTGTACGCATTTAGCCATCGCGGCTGCTGCCTATTGGTAATTGAAACTTGTTAAGACATTAAAAAATCGTTTAGCACGGAATTTGGGCTAAAAATGCGTGGAAAATCGTGAAAAAATCAAAGCAAAGCAGAAATCAGAAAACCCATACAACAGACAGCAGACAGCCAGAGGAAAAACCAAATACATTTGACAAGAAATCGCAATCGAGACAGACAGCAGCAGAAGCAGAAGAGCTCAAGCGTGTGATTTTGAAGACAAAACTTGATCAGGGCAAGGAGCCGAGGCGCAGCTGGGGCAAATTGTGCAACCACAATATACAAATTCCTGCACATAAACTAATCTTGGCAACAGCGCCGGCTCTTGACTACCGCATTTTATTTTTTATATATTTTTTTTTATTTTTTATTTTTTGCATCTTTGTATTTGACGCCCGCAAGATGGAGGGATGCTAATCATGCTCGAGCCAGGCAGACCAAAGAAATTGTGCCGAAAACTTCATAACTTTCAGCTGCCGTTGTCTGTGCTCTTTTGCATACTGCAATAAATTTCCCTGGCAATTTTCCTTAGCAATTTGCATGCCAAACAAAGCCCCAGCGCAGTGCACTACACATCTATAAGTATATACATACATATGCTTTTCAGTTACTAACTGTATGTCAAATAGCACACGATAGATAGTATCTCGCTCGTACTTCTGTGTAAATAAATATGCCAAAATTTCGTTTAATTAAAAAAATTATTGGCGCATTTTTATTTATGGCCCATAATCGAATAGGCCCCCTTTATGCAATCAAACAAAATTGCAAGCTGCATAAACAAGTTACTTTGCAGTCTTCTGCGAAAGAGCAGCGAATATCGAATACTCTTTCTATGTGAAAGATTTTTTTTTATTTTAATTTTTTTAATGAGAATTTAAACATTAAATTAAAAAAAAATATATTCGCTTTAGTGAAATTATATTCTTGAAGAAAATTGTTCAAATGAATTTTTTTATTTTAATTCAATAAAAAAAAATAAATAAAAAAAAATACGCATATGACTTTTTTTTTAATTCAATAAAAAAAAAAAATTAAATAAAATACGCATATGAAAACAAGATTATATATTATTTTTAAATTAAAAAAATATTTTTACAGATTTTTTTTTATTATCACAAAATATTGTGAACAAAGTTCTTGATTCCTTAACAAAAATTGTTTACATGAATATTATTATTATTATTATGCATTCCTTAAAATTTAAATAATAAAAAAAATAGCATAACATACATTTTTTATTTTTATACCTTTGTGCTCACTCACCTGCCACACATGCTCGTCCCTGGAGTGAAGGGAACCTCTTTGGCAGATAGTGTAGCCTATCATGCTATCATGTTTTTTAAATGAAGCCGCTGCAGGCTGTTTGCATTGGCCAAAATGCGCTAACAATTTCTACGATTACGATTGCAATTGCTATGCGGCATAAAGAAATAAACTGCAATCGCAATCGGAGAAGCAGAAGGAGAAGGAGTCGAAGATGGAGTAGAAGATGGAGCTGCGGCCACATGCATCTTCATCTTGACTCATGAGGCATGTGCTGGGCACATGCACGTACATGATTGGCCGCCAGGCAGCCGATCAGCCAGTTGTGTCTGAGTGTACTATATGCACGTAGCACCGTAAACTTTCTTTTTGCCCGGGCTGTAGTCAAATAACAATAATCGTGGCCAAATTAGTCAATATTTGCGCCCCAAAAAAATCTCTCAAAGGAAACGCTTATTATTTTATTTACTATTTTTTTCTTTTTTCTGTTTGCTGTGTTTTTTTAATGCATTTTATATGCATATACTTCACAAGCGATCCTCCCTCTATTACTCTCCGTTGACCATAAAATGTGTATAAAGTAATTTTTCGAATTTAAACATCATGATTAGCTAAACTACCAAGCGGCAGCCAGCCGGGCCAGGCAAATGACTACAAATGATTACGCATTTGAGCCAGGCCAAGCTCAAGTCTCTTAACTTCTCTCTTTTTCTATTTTTTTTTTTTTTTTTTGTTATTTTGGTGAAATTTCAGTAAGCTGCCTTTGCCTTCTATGGCCGGTCAGATGAACGGGCGATAAGCTGTGGAAAACATTGAAAACGAGCTCAGTTCGAGAGTCTAAAATGCAGACTGGACCATCGCTTGGACTCTGACTTGGCCATTGGCCTGCACTTGTTGTAACTACTTGTTGTTGTTGCTTTCATTCAGGCTCTAATGGGTCGTGTCTTTGGCCAGCAGTGCCGCACTTTAATGTCTTTGGAGATCAGGTGTTGATGCTGCAGCCTGACTCTGCAGCGGACAGCAGCGGCCTCAACTAAGCATTTCAAAGACCTGGCCTCACATTGCAGTTGATTTCTGCGTAGATTGCACTTAAATGTTCCTAGCAATAGCATCTGAAATATTTATACCCAGCCAGGCATTTTCTCTTCGCTTTGCCCTTATCTAAGCTATGCGCCAAGCTCTTTGCTCTCTGTGCTGTATGCAAATTTGTTAAGTCATTTCTGTTTGTGGTTCTCACGCTGCCACACCAGGCCTCCAAATGCCGTCCATATTTCTCCTATGAGCGGACCCGAAAAAAAAAATATCAAACAACAAACAAAAACAAAAAACAAAAAATTACAACAAATATTTCAAACAAAGGCAAATCAATTGACAATTTGAACATTTAGTACTTGCTGCACGACTTTGACAGGCCAGCAGCAACAGCAACAACAACAAAACACATGAACAACAGATCAAAATCGCCATCGCAATCTGAATCGCTGCCACAGCAACTGCACGCAGGCTGTCAATGCAATTTCGATAGCTCGATCTCGGACTGACCAAATGGATTTCTAATCAAGGCAGCAGCCACCCTGCAGTCCAAGTTGATTTTATTCTCTTTTGTTTCTTTTTGGCAGCGCCAGCTAGGTTGCCTATTCTAAATGCGACTCGCAGAATCTATGCAAATGAAATAAAAAGCAGAAAAAACAACAAGTAAGAAAACTCTAGTCGAGAGTGCTCGACTAGATACTACCCTGAACCAAA